GGGGGGGGGGGGGGGGGGGGGGGGGGGGGGGGGTGGACAAGTGTTGATGGGGCTCACAAGATACTGTGTATGCAATGGAACGAGGAAGCGGGAAGTTTTCAGGGAATTTCGCCGTGCTTCCATTGGAATAGCGGATGGAGATTGAAGGAGATTCTCAGTGCTTTCCATGCAAAAAAGAGCAAAGTGGGAGTGTTATGGAAGTGGCAAAAGATTCCTTGCATGATTTTTGCGGGATCTGGAGGGAGGTGGCAGCCTGGGAAACGGGAGCAGAGGGATTGTTCAAGAGGCTTGTAAGATGCTTCCCGTGGGAGAGAGGGGGGGGAGGTGGACAGGGCGTGTCGAAGGCTCTCAGAGCAAAGTGCTAAACGTGCAAGCAATCCCTGAGGAAATGGGGGCGTCAAGGGGATGTAAGGGTGAGAGATGAGAATGTTAAGATGCTGGGTGGAGAACTTGAAGGGGGATGACAAGTTGCTTCACTTCGATGGGGGAAAGGGGATGTTTCTGTCAAGGAGGGTAACCATGTGTGATCTGCAGAAATGGGGTCAAGATAAAGTTTTGATGTGCGGCTCTAAGAAGCTCGCATCGGAGGGGATTGGGGGGGTTGCGAAATGCTTTGCACACAAACGGGGGTAGAGAGGGGGACAGAGAGAGGGTTTGTCACAGGGGTTTCAAATGCTTCACTGGCATGGAGAAAACAGACACAGTGAACTGTTAAGGAGGTAACCACACGTGACCTGCAAGAAATGGGTAAACACTCGAGACAAAGTTCTCATGTGGGGTTGTTAGACACTTTAGATTGAGGGGTATGGGAGGGTGGCAAGATGCTTTGCACACCAAAGGGGGCAAGGAGTGCCGCACATGGATTGCAAATGCTTTGCAGACACAGAGGAAACAGAGGCAGTGTCAAGGGGGCTTGCCACTTGCCACTGTGCAAGGGGTTTTAGCGAGAGTGAAAGAGTGTCGATGTGGGTGACAAATGCTATCCCTACAAAGGAATTTGGGAGAGGTCACAAGATTGTTTATACAAAAACAGGGGTGAACATAGTGTAAGGGGGAGGTGGCAAGATCTCTCGAAGACATGAGGGAAGAGAGGTTGAGTGCTAGGGGGGTCACAGTACGTCATCTTGTGATTTATAGAGACGACAGTATTGGCTCGCAAAGTGCTTTACGTGCAGGGGGATTGGGGGACCAGAGTCTCGAGTGGGAGGGGGCGGCATGCCAGAGAGGGAGAAGGGAGTGTGAGAGGGGGTAGCTTGCCAGAGAGGGAGAAGGAGCGCCCATGGTGGAGATTGGAACGCTTGAAGATGAAGCAGGGAGACTCCAAAAGTAGTATTGAAGATGAAGCAGGGAGACTCCAAAGGGAGACTCCATAAAGCAGGGGGTAACCAGTGAAGAAGGGCTGGCAAGAAGGAAGATGAAGCTTACCTCTTGGCTGACGGCTACGTGCAGAGGGAGACTCCAAAAGGGGGAGAGAAACCAGCATTCATCTCTCGAGGCCTCGTTCTGCTGGCCCTTGCTATAGAGCGAGAGAGCATGGCATTGTTGTTAATGAGGTTAAGAGCTGAGAGGGAAGGTCTTCACAGCTTCAGGGTGGCAATGTAGTCATGATTTAAGAAGGCGGCTCAATGTTGCTGCAGCAGTATTGCGCCGCACTTGCACAGCCCAGCGCTAGTGAGATCGGCTTGAAGAGTGACATTTGTCTGGTTTGGCGGTAAAGGAGTGGGGAGAAGCAAACCAGTAAATGGATCATACATTGAGTTGGCAGCAGTATTGCACCGCACTTGCATAGCCCAGCGCTAGTGAGATCGGCTTGAAGAATGACATTTGTCTGGTTTGGCGGTAAAGGAGTGGTGAGAAGCAAACCAGTAAATGGATCATACATTGAGTTGGCAAGAGAGGAGTCCCGAGGAAGAATTGGGAGAAGGAACTTGAACATTGTACTCACTTGTCTATATTGTCATGCCTTTGATCTTCCTCCTGTTATTCATTGCTATCTCAATCTGATCATGTGTTATTTGATAGTGAGGTTCTGGAGTTGGGTTTGCTGCGCAGTGAACACGTAAATGTCGATAAACAGATCCAAGTTCCTTCTTGTATGAAGGCAATAATGTTAGTAGATGCTCTCTTCTTACATGAAGCAGCTCTGCATTTTGTACAATCTTTGACTTTATTGTTTGCTACTGGACATGCCTAGCTGGTAGTTTGTGTGTCAATCGTGTCTTGATTTCGATTTGCCTCCATCTCTTGCTGTTACAGCTCTGAGAAGATTAAGCAGGCAAGGCTGGAGTTAATTTGCTTGGAGAACGAAGTTGATAAGGTGCTACCTGCAACATCTGCGCTGACATATGGTAGGTTGAACGTATGGTTCATGTGGTCAGCGTGTATTCTTGTTGGACATGATGCGCTCAGCTTCCCATGCGCCACACTTTTTCTGAGTTTCTGGTTTGTTGCCGAACAGTTCAAATGTGTTCTGCCCCTCATAGCTACGGTGGACTCTGTCCTGTCTGTCCCCATTTTTGTCTGTTTTGAAAAGTTACTTTCTTTCATCCCGAAATGTGTGCCAAAGAACTGCAGCACAAACACATGTAACTGTTAATAAACAGGTCATGAGTTTGAATCCTGCTCGAATCAGATCGGTTCAATAGGTTAGTGGGAGCAATGCCCTTCAGAGGGAAAAAAGAGGGAAACTCGTAACACGAGTCACATGGCAGTATTTTCATTGCTACAATTAAGAAAATACAAGACGAGATTGTTTGAGCAAGCTTGTCCTCTTATTGTCTTGAAGCACGGACACCAGGGACGAACACAGGATATCGGTGGTGGCATTGCGCTTCTTTGAGTGTCAAATGTTAGTAAGCGATCGAGGAGTGCGGCAGCTTGAAGGTGATGAATCTGCAATGAACCCAGTCAGGAGGAAAGCTCAACAATGTTGAAGTACAGAATGTCTCAGCGCAGTTTCAATGTCTCCAATCATACATGTAATCAAGAGTCCAATATCAAGTAACCAGAGAAGAGAGTGATGAGAGGGAGATAGACTGAGAGGGTGGAAGAGAAAGTAACCATCAGCAGCAGATAGATCTCCCTCTTGGCCCACTCCTCCTTCGGGCATCTCCTACTCGCCACGTCAGCAGACAGTTTCCTCTGACACACACTGACATCGAACAGATCTCAACACGACGCATACAGCGCAGACACCTTCTGAAGACAACAGCAGAGTGCAATGTCGACACGATTGTGAACAGGTAAGCTCTCCTTTCTACACTCGACCAATCTCACAGCTCTGATCCTCCTCCTCCTCGCCAATACCACATCAATGTCGTAGACAGTGTGGCGAGAGCCACGCCAGCGATAATCAAGAAGAGAGCTGGCGCCGAAGACACAGGATAGCGCCAACGCAGTAGCTGTCTCGCATTGTCGTCCAATATCAAGCGAGAGTCAGCGTAGAGCCAGCGTCAAGCAGCAAGTGCAAGACTGAATGTCGGTCAGCAGGGGCAGGGTCAACATATAGTGTTGACTCCGGTTGACCAGCCTCTGGTCTCACAGATACGATGGCCCAGATTGACTCGCGGTGAATGGCCTGGATCCCATACAGTTGCAGATTCCCACCTGGTCTTGATTCTTGACAGACACCTGCAAACAGCCAAGTGTGTGAGTCTGATCGGTGGCCCGGGCTGGATCCATATTGACTGTGTTTCGCGAGCCCGAATTTTCGAGCTGCTGTTGACCTTTGACTTTCTATGGTAAACTGTTGCACGCTGGGCCTCTAGAGCCCAGTTTTAGGCCTTGCTTCGGGTGCCCATGGTAGCAGGCCTTTGTTCAGGCCCTTTTCAAGGCTTGGGCGAGGCCGTTGACCCCTGTTCTGGCCCTTAGACCGACGGACGGACCTTAGCCCACGACTGATGCATGATTTTGAGCTGAGTTATTGCATTCCATCGGGCCCAATTTCGAGTTTCATCGCAGAAACTATGTCTTATTACATTCCATCCGGCCCAATTTCGAGTTCCATCGCAGAAACTACTTCTTTAGGCTCGGTTCTCTTTTAACCCACGCTCATATGCAGCGACAATATCGGGTGCAGTAGGTAGACGTTCTTTCTTAGTGAACCATCGTGATTCCGAGACAGGTCGAGTCTTGAACTTTACCTTATACTGCTTCTGTGGTCTTCCTCTGTGTGGCATACTGTAAAAGTGCAGACCCGAACAAGAACTGATATCTCTCACATAGTACAAGATAGCTCAGCGGAAGGCTAATATACCAATGATCCGAACAATCAATGCTGCAATGCAGACCAACCATACATCATCATCAATTTCATGTTGTGAAGGGGCCTGGCGCTCACACAGGAAGAATGCGCCAGTCCCCAACCATACACAGACGAAGAAGAGGGGGGTTAGACGAAGAAGAGGGGAAGATGGGAATGTTGTCAAC